ACCACACCACTCCACCACCTCCACATCACCTTCTCTCACAACACACCACCTCCTCCTCACAATCTTCAACCAAAATAAACACCCTCTTTCATCTATTTTTCAAATTCTCACACAAATACCAAAGATAATGGTAGAACCCCATATCATATTTTTCATTTGAGACAATTACATACAGTCACTCGAAACATTGCTATCATCAAGCACTCTCTTTCATTTGAGGCAATTACTTACATGGAACCCGAAACAATGTTATAAATCCATAATTTTCAATTGAGGCAGTGACATACATGGCATCAAAACAGCCCTATCTACAAATCAAGCTTCTTTTTTTATCCATTTTTCATTACAATGACATACAGGGCACCCGAAACACTGTTTTCTACACACAGGGCGCACGAAATAGTGCCATCTACATATCGGGCACCAAACAAATTGCAGAACCATACATAAAACCATAGAAATCACAGAACTCACAAATTCATAAAATTCTCACAATAACCATAGAGAAAAATGAGAAAGCTCTGCTTGAAAAATGAGAACGATTCCACAAAATTATCACAAAACGCTATATACCGCAAATGGGAAAGCCACAAATCGCAAAGAGAAAGTCATTCCATAGAAAATGAGCACAGTATTTACATACCATACACAATAACTAGAGATAAGAGGGAAAAGAGAGAGGAGAAAGCCAAGTTGCCACCGGAGAAAGCCGCTTGAAATGCGAAAAAAGGCGCGAGAGAGAAACGAGAGAGATACCTAGGCAGCGGGGTAAAAACTTCGCAAGAGCGATCGAGAGGGGTGTAGCTAGGGCAGAAGAAGTGCGACAAAGGGAGCCACGACGAGAGAGGCAAAAGAAGTGCGAGAGAGGGAGCCACGACGAGAGAGGCAGAAGAAGCGCGAGAGGGACCGTGGGGTAAAATGCACGCAAAGAAACGCAGGCCGCGAGTTAAAATGCACGCGAAGAAACGCATTTGAGGCCGCATTTTAACATAAATTATTCACGAACGCCGCCACACCGTTGTTTTCAAACGATTGGGCGCATGCTTTCAGAACACACCGCACCAAAAAAACTGCCCCAAACGGGCCCTCGGTCTGCTCACTGATTCATTATATTGTGAAAACGTTTAATGAGCTTTTTTCTCTCTTATGTGGGTAAGATTTGCTGTAGCTTCAGCTTTTCTTACAATAAGGAAGTTCCTTGTCGTGTGCCAAACTCCTCCACTAGGCTTAGATTTGATTAATTGGTCTTTAATAAATTTTTAATGGCTTAAGTTATTTCTGGATATTAGAAATGAGTTTATGCTGTATGTGCATATTACAATAATTTTTATATGGAAACTAAAACGCTCCTTGCAAATTAATTTCTTATGTCACGACCTTCAAGCTTAAGAACCAATTGATTGATATTGATCTACGGCCACATAACCGCTTGTTTGATCAACTTTCATGAATATTTGGTCTATTAAGCAAACTCGATAAAAAAAATTAGTGACCTGTAATCCCACTCTTCAGAAGTATTACTTATTACAAATTTTGGGAATGAGTGCCCTTGAAAGTTGAAACTATTCCTTATGTGAATTTATTCATGCTTATACATTTCATGTTATTTGTGTAATCCATTATCGAGAGAATGAATCATTTTATCTCACCATTTAGGCCATTCATTAGGGTTTTGCATTAATGTGCGTGATGCATGAATAAGTTAGAGTGAAACCACATGGTAAGTTGTTTTTTGCTCATGTAAAAGAATGACAGTTTTTTCATATGGATTTGCGTTCATAATTATATATGGTTGTGTTATTAGGAAATCAATTGGCTTGTCGAGAAGACACATGAGAACAAATTGAGAGGATTGGGAAGCTATAGTGGGGGATTCTAAGAGATTTACAAATTTGTGGAGAGAAATCCTAAGAGAATTGGGCCGAAAGAGATTTGCCAATTTCAAGAAGGTTTGGTGAGTTTGAGAGGAACTCAGAAAAGGTCTCAAGAAGATTCTAACCCAAGGGTCGAGTAACTCTGATTAAGAACATTTTGACTAGCAATATGATGCCAATCTGACCGTACATCCACAAAATCTGCTTCTCATCGACATAACCAATGTTTAAAAGGAAAATTTGAGGTGTCAATTTGCTTTTGCAAGCCATAATCCTCATGATGGATAAAGTAGAAAACCTTGAACCAAGAAAATATCAATCTTTTGATATTTAAATAATTCATAAATATGTCATAAAATTTAGATGTATTAACTTAATTCGTCACATAAATCACAAAATTGCATGAGAAAAAGAAAGCAAATTTCAATCTTAAATCTTAAATCTTAATCTATATAGAAATTTAAGGTAAGCACACATTTAAATTTAAAAAATGTCATGACAAATTATCGATTATTTAAGCTCTTTAAAAGAATCATTGCATGTAATAATTCTAACATCCTCCAATTTAGTTTCATTATCATTTTTTAAATTTTCTTCAATTGCTATTTTTTTTATGCTTCTCATATCAATTGACATTGGATATAATTTAAAATATAATAAAAAATTAATAACACAATTAAATAATCTGCTATAATTAAACTACCTTGACTTTTTTAATGCTCCAACACCACTTTGTTTATCTTCGTAAAATGATTGTGAAGTAGAAGCTGCATCCAATTCAATGACCCTTTCAATGTTAGCTATAACATTTTCATTCTCATCTTTACTCAAAAATTCCTTCGTCATTAACATCAAATCATTCATGAATTTTGCACTATTCATTCATTATCAAATTATATATTATCAACGCTCATCATACTTGGTCTTTGCTACATGATGCGTCAATCTCTTAAATGCTTATTGAACAAAATATATACAAGTTTCTTCATGCATTATGCAACAATTCTTCTTTTTGTGCACATTGTCAAACGTGCTCGAATTATTTTCACATGTGAAAACTGAACAAGCAACACTTCTCTTCGCTGCATTTCATGTCGCTTGTTGATTCTTTGCTCTCTTACTATTATTTGTTGAACAACAATTTTTTTTCTCTTTCTCGCTCAACTCTCATAATTCTAACATGAAAAATTAAATGGAGGCACAAGTTATATTAGATATCTCATGTAATAAAAATTTTTATTTTTATTTTTGCTAGGTAATAATTTGAATTGTAGTCTCAAGCATCTTGAGATATAAGCCTTGAGGCAATTTCTGGGCACCTCCAACTGAGATGCACACCTCGAGCACCTTTTTAAACCATGCTTATAACTTATATGTATGTAACCCAAGTCAATGTCTTATCTTTGTAACTATCATATTTTTTTGTTATTAGGATTCCTTGTATATATTAAGGGTTGTCATAGCATAAAGATAGATTCTACCTCAGGAGGGGAGAAACTTGTTGCAAAAATGGGTTGGGGATCTCAGAGTATAAGGATTAGAGAGAGGGATGTAACAAAGTTTCTTCGTCTTCATTCTTTATATTACCTAGTTTCTTCTTTTAATGAAATGTTTGCATTTGCTCCCAAACAAGGCATTCCTTGTTTGTACCGACATTATATTGTCTACCAAAAATGCTAAAAAAATAAAAAAAGTCTATATTATCTTCAAAATAATCACACAAAATATTAAAACACTAATATACCATTAATTGGGTCTAATACACCAGCACCACCATCATTATCATAACTATAAACATTGTTCTCTTCAATCGCAACTTCACTATCATCGATAAAAAATATATTTGCAAAGGCAACTCATCAGTACACATATATCAAGAACTTACATCATTCCAATTTTATACATTATAATGAATGCATCTCGACTAACATTCCAAACTTTGTTTCTGAGTTTTTTCTAAGTTTCACCTAGATAGGAGGTGAAGATTGTTGTTAACAAGTATGACTTCACCTCATAGAGGAATGATCTTATTCTTCTTAAGTGAATTAATAAAAAAAAAATACTTTTTTTATTTCATAACAAGGCGAGAAAGTTGGTTTTAAAGGAAATTTAGAAGCCAAATTTATAGTTGTGGGGAGTTATCAACTAATCATCCACGAAGCCTTTCTTTATCCATTGTGTTTCTAGATGGCAAAAGCATTATCAAGCTCGAAGAAGTAGTAGTCTGACTTCACCATTGCTCTTTTCAATACTTAGAAAATGCTTATTTAAATTATTATTCCTCTCATTTGATGCTTGCATATCTTTATGAGAGGAAGGCAATTTAGAAACTCACTTAGCCAAGCATGGCAGTAATATGTAAGTGAAATAATTGCATCTAATAATTTAAATTTTAATTGTTAATGAATACTAATCATATATTAGTGAATTAGTTATAAAAGATATCCTGGGATTTAAGGAAATGGGCTAAGCAATGAAGATGGGTGTTTTAGTTCAATCTCAACAAAAATAATTTCAAGAACCATTTTATTGAAAGCGAACTCTTGATTATTCCTCTTTCTTTTTTGTCAATATATGATATTTTTTCCTCCTCTTCAATCATATTTTAAAAAAGCATAAAAAATGATTTTTCAGCTTGTTGATTATGTGTTAGATGCATGTTTGTGTCCAACGCTGACACAAGATTTTATAAGCTCATGTGCTTCATAGAACTTAATCAAACAAATAGTTATGTTCAATCTGCATAAGATTGTAACCCTAGAGGAAGCATGATACTAAGCTGCAAGCTAAAAGTGTTTTGGTATGGCTAAGACTGGGAGGCAATTCTCTCGAGGATTAATTCCATGTTTTTTATCACAAACTATTAATATACAAAGATAATTCTAATTGTTGAAAATTTGTGATGACAAGAAAAAAAAAATGTGGCTTATTTATAACCTTAAGGAAAAATGATTAAGAATATTGAAATTTCAATACCATGACCGCAGTGATGTGGTATTTAAAACCACTCATACACTTGTATTGTTGTCCATTTCCTTTTATTTAGAGTTTCAATAAAGAAATTTTGAGCAACATGCTGTTTAGAAGACAAATCAGGATGATCTTAAATATTTCTCTCTACTTGTCGATAAAACTGACCAAGGTTTATTTTAATTCTAAGAGACAGATTTTTCATGGGTTAAGCTCTATTGGTTAACTACATTCCAAGCTTTATTATTGGGAACACTTTTGATCAAGGATATGACTGTGCTTCTAATGGGTTTATAAAAGACATAATATGGCCTTTGTTGTGAAACTTGACTTTTAAATGGTCAGTTCCTTTCTACCAAGATTAACTTGTTGTGTTAGAGAATTGATTGTTGTATCTACCTTGAGCAGGGGATTTAAGATGGATTTGAGCGCACTCACCTCAAAGTGCAGAGGGAGAGAGAGAGAGCTACAAAGGTGATAATCTAAGATGAGAAAGATATGAAGTGAGGGATGGCTTGACCTGAAAAAGAAATAAGGCCTAAAGTGATTACCCATTTCAAAGATCTAATGAGACTTATGAAGTGATAATGAAGACTAAGGGTATAAAATATGGGATAATAACACAACTTTGGAATGATACAAAACATTGGTGATAACCCAATTTGAGAACACGACAATACTTATTGGTTCATAACTTAACCTTTGAACCTAGCAAAACTTATGCGGCCCAACCTTGAAACATAATGGAACATAATAGGACTACAAGGTGATAACCTAATATGAGAAAGGATATTGTCTTTCAAAGTGCTAATCCGACTAAGGAATATAGTAGAATTTATGGGATGATAACCTATTCCAATTTTGAACATCCATTGAATAAGACCTTGAATGCTAGATGTGATGCCACATAATCATGCAAACATATGCAAAGGCTTGGAGGAAGGTTCTATCGTCTAGCTATTAGGAGGGTTTATGGCAGGACTTATGACATTTCTGCAGGAGAGTGGTCCACAAGATAAATCAGATATCAAGGGTTTTGATTATCAACCATGGGATGGGCCAACAAGTTGCTAAAGTTATGAGGGTATGGAAGGAAGATGTATGTGGAAGGAATCTACTGGTTTTGAGCAATTTGAAGCTATTGGCTCAATAAAAGGTAATGAACTATGGGAATCCTAATTCTGCAAGAGTGAGCAGCCTAAAAGGGGAAGTTAACAACAACATTTACGTATTTATCCTGACAAAGATTGAAATGAGGGTATATAACTCTTGATAACTTGGGGGAGAATGCATAGACCTGGACTTACAATGCTCACATGGGCATCTATCTTTGATTCTATTAATATTTAGATTCTAATGTCTTATTAGGCAATGTAGGACTACTCCTCCCAATGGCGAAGATGCCTACCAAGAGACTTAAATCTTAACTATGAAAGATCGCAAAAGCCTAATGATTGGTCTTACATCCTACTTAATTAAGAAGTACCACTGGACCCACCTAGGCATATTTTAGAAAACAATCTTATCGTATATTCATATGAGGGACTCAAATATAATGATTTTCTTTTTAATTTTCTGGCTTAGTGTGAATCTTAACCACATATAGTTTCAGTGGGCTGCAATATGACATGACAACTAAGCTCTTATTAATAAAACATACATCTATATCTATTATGATCATTCAAATGCTAAATCACAATATTTGTTGACGCATAAAAAATTGATTTTAATATATATATATGTGGGGA